GAGTTTGATTTTTTCTGATGTCTAGATTGTTCTACGGGTTAAAGATAAATATGGTCCCTCTATTTTCAATTTTCATTCACTGTTCTTCCCATATTTAGAAATTGTTCAAAGACTTTCCTTCTACTCTTTCAAAGCATATTATTGTCTTCCCTCTGCTTTAAGTTTTCATAATACTTACCTCCCTTAGCTAACACTCAATTAACACTGTGACTAATTCTCATTAATACCATTACCAACTCTCATTGAGATATCTTTTTATCATTAAAATTCAACCCATTCATTATTTTATAATTTATTTTTGTTGAATTGTATTGAGTGGCCCTCACAATTTTCCATGTTAGCAACCCATGACTAGATCAGCAATATATAAGCCCAAATCATGTACTCTTCCCACCAATGCTGGCTAGATAACAAAACATCAGCAATAAAATTGAGTTTATCGGACAATTATTCCATAGTGATTTGAATAAAACGATCAATCAATGCTCTTAATTCGTTATATCAAATAAATCCTAATTTTCTATATCTTACCATATTCAATTCATCTATTTGATCCACTCAACAAGTTATATATGTGTGGGAAGAGTTCATGATTTGGCGCCTATATATTGCTAATTTAGCCACAAGTTGATGAAATAGAAGTTAGTAGGCCTATTTAGGGGTGCTCATATTCAATTTAATCCAATTGATTTGATTTAAACTGATCAAATTTAATAAAAAATTAAACTAAATTAATTTAAATTGCAAGATATATTTGATTTAGTTTGTAGTTTTACCTTTAAATTATCTAAACCATTTGATTACAAAATAAAATATAATTACAAGATAACTTAATTAAATAATATAATATTTTTTAAGTATTTTAAATTTTCTTTTCTTGTTTTACAAGATAATAACTTCATTAATTTAATTAAAAAATAAAAATAAAACATCTCCATATTTTCTAATTTGTTTTTCCTTCTTAATCATGTACTCTAATTTTGATTCAAAATTCTAATTCACCTGTAACTTTATCTCTTACAATTGGTTTACGACTCTACGACTCTACTCTTAAAACCCTATATTTCTAATTTATTTTTAAAATGATATTTAGATACGCTTAGTTAAACTTTACAAAAGTATCATTTTATAAGTCTTAAAATTACAGAATAGAAATAGTCTTAATATTTTTTTATTCTTGGATATTTAGTTGAAAATTTTTAAATTTTGATTATGACTACTTCTAACCAATTCTAGTAATATTCATGTTAAATTTTAGTTACTTTTATTAGGGTTTGGAATATGAGATTGAATCATTAGTGCATTAAGAAAAAGAAATAGTTTTAACATTTAAAAATTATTTATACTGCACGTGAAACTTGAAGTTATTTTTTACTATTCTTAGTGCCTCTAGTGATTTAGCAAAAAAAAATTTATAGTTATTTTCAATATTTATAATTGTAAAGGAGTATACGAACTTATTTATAACTTGTGCATTTTATTATATTCTTATTGATTTGTATATTAATATGTTTTGTAATTATAATTTTTGTTTAATATTAAAAATCGATCAATCTGACTAAACTACACCAATTTGATTTAAGTTGGATTAGTTTGATTATCATATAATAATAAATTAGATTAGTTTTAAAATTTTAATAATCAATTAAATTAAATTGATTTAAAAAATATTAAAATCTTAATCAAATCATAATGTGAGCACCCTTAAGCCTAATTAACGCAATTCAACCAAAAAATAAAATAAAATAATGAAGAGATTGAACTTTAACTTTTAAAAAAGTATTCATTAATGAGAGTTAATAACGATGTTAATGAGGGCTAATAACAGTGTGTGTTAGGTGTTGAATAAAAAGGTTAACCATTATGAAAACTTAAAATAAAGGGAGAACAATAGTACGTTTTGAGAGAATAAAGAGAGATCTTTGAATGATTTCTAAATATAAAGAGAACAATAAAAAAAAATAAAAGTGGAGGGATCATAGTTCACTTTAACCCATTGTTTTATACTTGCATCATCAAAACGCCTACTTGCCAAAGCGCACGATAAAATCAATGCATAATAACATCCGAGTTTCCGGAGATACTTAAGTACGATACGACATTTTAATTTTAGTGAAAACGCGAGGCACGTGGGCATAGCATAGAGAGCGGCAGCCAGGCGCGCGCGAGGCTGATTTCCACATCGTGCATTTCCGCCACGTTTCGTTAACCATCTGTCAAGCGAGGAACTACTTGGCAGTTAGGAACCCGCTCAGCTCCGCGGCACTGCCACGATTACTACTGGTTCACTTTAGCAAATCCCGCCTGGGTTTCTCTACCTTAAGCCATAGATCCAGAAGAGTGCTCCACACTGTGTGTTATCATCAATGTGAACCGTTGATTGATTATTACAGTTGGTGGAAACTTTGATTTTTTTTTTTTGAACATTGAAAATGATGAGAGTAGGAAATTTTTTTAAAAAATTAAGCAAAAATTAAATTTTAATTAACTGAATCCAAATACTAAGAGTTAAGAAAGATTGAATTTGAGTGAATTTGGAAAGGCAGAAATCCAAAGCCACCCTTTGAATGGAGGGGTAGGGATAGATTTATTTTTAAAATTTTATAAAAATAAATTATTTTTTAAAATTATAAATTAAGATAAATTACATATTTTTTAATATATAATATTAAATTTTCATTAAAAAATATTTATATTATAAATAAAATTTTGATATAATATGTTAAAAAATAAATAATTTATTTAATTTATAATTTAGAAAAATAATTAATCTTTGTATTTTTTTAAAAAAACAGATTTATTCTTATTCTGATATTTAAGGGGTGAATTCGAGATTTTGCTAATTCGGAAGTGTGACTGCACGAGATGCAGCTGATCACACCTCGTGCTTCCCCGTGCGTTGGAAGATTAACGGCTGTGATTACGCCACGTGAAGATCAAGGCACTAGCGGACAAACAACTGGCAGATTAGCCGTACGAATATCTCCAATTCAGCGCGTCTGTACGGATGACACGTTTTCTGGATCATGTTAGACGGTAAGTGCAAGCTAAATGCTTGGGTTCACGTGGTTGGTGCCTTGGTGGTGTTATTGAGGTGGTACCCGTGGCAGTAGTGTGAAGCGTCGTACCGTCGCTGACACTCCTTTAAACTCGTGTGGACGCGTGGCACTGGATAATGAATTGTTTATTTGACTCTTGATCTTCATCTCCAACTCCATGATAATAATCTTGACTAAAGGTTTTTTTTTTTGTAAAAAAAAAAAAATTAATTCGAGTCTTTAGATCATATATATCTCATCTTACTCGAATTTATAATTTTGTTATTTTATTATAAAGTGATTATTATTAAATAATTAGGTTATTGAAAGAATTTAAAATGTTCAATTTTGTTTTAAAATTGAGTTTACCATACCATATATATATATATATTTTTAAACAGGAAAATACAAAGGGGAGTAGAAAGGCTAATAAAGCTTACTTTAACAACACTAGTTATAGTATT